TCTTAAGATTTAAGTAAAAATAGTTATAAATAAGTTTTTGTTTTTCATCCGTAGCGTCATTTACATTTGACTTTCTGGATGTTTTTTTTCTTCTTTCTAGTGGTCAGAGGCAAAAAATGTATGAGTGATATCTCTGAATACATATCCCTTTTAGGGTCATAGGATCTTATTCCCTCCCCCCCCTCCCATTTTCATAAAATTGCTTTATGATCTGTAATGTAATTCTAAAAAAAGTTTTAAGCTTTTTAACACATTTGACAGAATATTATGTTTTTATTCACCACATTCTTTATCACCTTAACCAATAGGTCACACTGAGTCATGGGGTAAAGGTCAAGACAAGCTGTTGACTGAATGTTTCTCCCAGGGCAAGTTTAATGGCAACTATGGACCAATAAATCCTGTCTACGAGTCCACTTTCTCCTTCCTATCTGACTTCTTTAAGGAAGTTAATGAAACCTTCAAAGACCATTATGTACATCTTGGAGGAGACGAAGTCAGCTTTGATTGCTGGTAAGTTATCCACTATAGAGATGCTCAATACTGTAAACATTCAACTTTTCAGAATATAATTTGGTCAAGTTTTATGTAGCCAAGTTTTATTTCGACTGGATTGAGTCCGAAATTAAAATTAAAACGGCCGTACCGTTCTTACCTTTACTGTTAGAGAATTCAACAGTTTTTGTTTTCTATCCATTTGTAATAGATAGATAACCATATTTAGATAGGTAACATTTACACACATTTTAAATTCTTTTGATAAATGTTTGTGCTTTGGTCCAACTTTGCTATTGCCAATGGGTAAAACTTAGTCGATTGATTTGTCACCTGATGAGAGTAAAAACGAGTAAGACTTCCGGTAGGCTGTACACAACACACTAGTGCTTGACAACAGTAGCCCGTTACACACTACAACTAGTAATTCAATATGCCTAGGCAATGTTCGGCTTTTGGCTGTTCAAACAGTCAAGTTAAGGACAGCGGTATAAGTCTGCATAAGTTTCCGCTTAAGGATAAAGAAAATTTAAGACAATGGCTTGACAAAGTGGACCTTCGTTAATTATTCACATGAAATCTTGTTCCAAACGGTTATTAAAATATTCCCTCGCCGCACAAATATTGAATAAACACGCAAATGACGTCATGGGCACCCACGGAGCTCAACAATAGCCTGCCGATGATAGTATTGGTAGTTCCCATCGAATATCGCTCACAAATTTTTCTTGAAACAACTTTCTTCCTTTAATCATAACCTACGTATATTTATTGTCACATTTATGTATTTCATTTAAAAAACGAGTGTATTCCAGAATAATTTGAAAGGTAAAATTTTTAAGTAACATGACATTGGGGAAGCACTGATGAAGTATATTTTGTTGTGTGTAGCAGCCTAGTGATGGCTTACTCTCATCACGTGACCAAACAAGGAAGTGACTAAGCGACTCCCATTCCTAAAACTGAAAATAAATGTTTTTCTTGTTATTTCAGGAGTAGCAATCCAGAAATCCAAAAGTTTATGCTGGCCATGAATTTCACAACATATGCTCAACTTGAGGGATACTACATGCAGAGGTCCATTTAGTTATTTAACATTGGAAATTTTAATGAGCTTTACATTTAAAAAAAAACAACACCCCATCATCTTGACTTGGTTAGTGAAACATGTTCAGACAAAGCCCTCTTAGAGGATTAAAAAAAAAAAAAAGCTCAGGTGGCAGGTCTTTAACATTGGAAATTTTAAGAGGCTTTACATTTAAAAAAAAACAACACCACATCATCTTGACTTGGTTAGTGAAAAATGTTCAGACAAAGCCCTCTTAGAGGATTAAAAAAAAAAAAAAAGCTCAGGTGGCAGGTCAAAGAACACTTTCCAGTATTGTCAAATATTTTACTAGTCTTTTCACTAATAAGCAGTCCTGTGTTAAATATATATAATATATTGGAATGTTTTATTATGCTTTATTATGCTGTACTGAATGATATTAATTAAGTTACATAGAAAGTGTACAGTTAGAGTTTGTTTTACCAGGCTGTTGAACATTGTTGGTGGCTTGCAGAAGGGTTACATTATCTGGCAGGAGGTTGTGGACAATGGTGTTAAGGTATGCTCATTTATTTTATTTGTCTAACTGTGAATAAATTGAATCAACATTCAATTAAGTTTTCATAAATACTTTTTTAAATGTAACTACAGCTTCCCATTACAAAATGCCATGGCATTATAGTAAAATTATTATTTTTTTTTCTATGTGAGGCAGGTACGTAATGACACGGTGGTTCACGTTTGGAAAGATGGATGGGAGAAAGAAATGAGTCAAGTAACTGCTCTAGGATACCAGACACTTCTGTCATCCTGCTGGTATCTCAACTTGATTGAGTATGGTAGTGACTGGGTCAGCTATTACAACTGTGATCCTCACAACTTCAATGGTAATTTTGTATTTAAGGAGATTTAGTACTGGCATTTAGTACTACGCAGCCCCGAGAAGCTGCTCCAAGGCAACCGTTTCGTCCCAGCTGCATCGCGAAGTAGTTGCGTTGTGGAAACCCACTGTAGAATCCCTCTTATAGGGCATCTAACGCTTCCCCGGGATGGGTGTGGGAAGATATTAGGTTGTATATTTTTCCATCCCGACTCCCGAGAAAGTCGATCGTGTGAACTTTGTGCAAACACAGTGTCGGACCGACCGGGTGTCTTTGGGTTAGGATGCCCCCCGGCGGAGACCCTGGTCGAGCAGACTCGGGTGGGGGCTGTCCTGACAAAGGGACATCCCCGACGTGCCGCTCCGTGGCCCGATACCGGGTTGGGGAGGGGTGTTTTGGGGAGGGCATAAAAGAGCGCAAGCTCGACGGCCCGCTGACGTCATTTCTTAATGTAACATTTCAGTACTGGCATTTGAAAATGATAGTTTCAAAGAAATACAATTATTTCTGGCCATTAGTTTTTCATGTTCAAAAGCAAAACAGTAAAGTTACCTGACCGTCTACAAAAATATTAAGTCGGCTCTATATTTACATATATGGAATAGAATAGCTTAGCACTTTTGGGGGGGTATTTTAGTTTAATACAGCATGAATAGCATTATAATAAGCCCCATGAATTTGTAATAATAATAATTTAAATAAAGTGTGATTAAAGTGTGTCGCATACATGATGTTTTTGTTCGGCTACGCCAGTGGTTCCTAAAATTTTTCGATTTAGGTTTTTAACAAACCCCCTATATCAAATACTAACAAATATACTTTTTCGAGATAGCAATTACATTTTTATTTAAGTTTTGGGTAAAATTAATAAAACATGTATGTAAGTCACTAAGCCTAATCTAGTAACTGCAAACAGTATTTACTCAAGTAACCCTGAAAATGGCACCCCCCCTCAATATAAAGAAAAAAGTGTTGCCCAGGGTGGACCAGTAAAAAGACAATTTTTTCCACCCCTTGTCTTTGTGACAGGTTCTACATGGGATTATGTGGCATATATTTTTGCAACCACTGGGCTTGCACAACAGACAGTGTAACCTGTGACACATTTTTGTTTAATGTGACATTATATTTGTGTATATATTAATTTATTTTGATGGTCTTTTTATTTTTGGGATGTTGTGGAGGGGTGGAAAGTTCTTTGTACTTATGCATAGGGGTGTCCAAAAAATATGCCTGCAACAGGGGGAGGGGTTGAAATTTTGACTTTTTTTTTGGCGTTTGTAGCCTACTATATGTATGGACCCTAAGTTAAATGACATATTAATTTTTTTTACTCATCAGGTACAGATCAGCAGAAGGCTCTTGTTGTTGGAGGGGAGGCCTGTATGTGGGGGGAGTATGTTGACAATGCCGTTGTGTTATCTAGGACTTGGTGGGTAATTTTGTCATTTTTGTCATGTCTTACCTGTTGGCAATTATTATTTCGTAGCTTTCTACAAGTTTTATACCTTATTTGATGTCCACCATTGACATGCTGGACATTGTTTTGCTCTCACCTTAGAGTAAATACATCTTTAAAATATATTTTTTGTAACACATATATTGTTTTTATTTTAAAATATGTTGCTTACTCATGGGTTATCAAAAAGAATGTACATGTCTGTATTCTAAGCAACTACAGCAGTTTGAAATTTTGATAAAGATAAAGCTGAAAAATTAATATTCCTGATTTAGCCAACAAAACAACATTATTTAATGACATCTTTCAATGAAAAATCTAAGTGGTTTATTTATTAATGAGATCTGACCTAATGATAAGCAAAGCAATTCTAAGCATGGTATTAGGAGTAGGTTAAAGACTTCTTTTGAACTGTATGACAGGCCAAGGACATCTGTTGTAGCAGAACGCCTGTGGAGCCCAGCTAACATCAATGATTATCAGAAAGCCCTTCCCAGACTCTCCGAACACAGATGCCGTATGATAAGGTATAAATTGATGTCAAAATATGATAACTTTGCTTAAAATGCATTCTCTTACTGACAAGATAAATATACTAAAGAAAGGAAAAAATTTAAGGAGAAAAAAAAAACAACAGATGAGGCAAATCAATTTTTGACAAGTCCCCATTTTGTAGAGCTGTTGATTTATTGTTAAGATTATTCTAAAAAAGATGTTACTTTCTAACACTGTTTGTCACTTTCTTAAAACTGTTTGCTACCTTCAAATAACGGAAATGCCTCAAAGGATTGTTTGTAATGAAGCATAAAAAAAATATATTTATGATCATTTTTTGATTTGACTACCGTTTGTTTTGCTGTCAATATTAGCTACTGTTTCTATTCACAGGCGAGGCTTCCCTGCTGAAGAAATTAATGGCCCTGGATTTTGTAAAGTCGAATACAAAGACTATTAAGAGGGAGTTTTTAAAAAAAAAATTGAAATATGGCGTTAGCTCTTGAAGACAGGTTCATTGAATCTGGTTTGCTGAAAGGAGATGCCAATAGTTTCAACAGAGAAGCAGTGTTGCCAAAAAGTTTTTAATAGGAGTTTGATATTTTGTTTTTGTATTAACTCTATGCAAAAGGAAATTTTGCTCATATATTTCTATTATAGTAGTGGTTTCTTTTAGTGGCTATCTATGTACTTAAGTTTTATTAACCAAGACAGGTTTTTTGAAGGCCCAACAATGTTGACCCCCTAAGAATGATTTTTAGGGAAATATTTTTAGATTAGCTGTGTAAAGTATTTTTTTTTTTTTACAGACAATATACATTAAATGCATAATTATTGCATTACACTGTCAAAATTTTTTTAGAACTATGTTCAGATAGCTTCAATATCAAGGGGATTGATAATTTTATGCACAAAAGTTGTGACAAGCTAGTTCTGCTACTATCGAGAACACACGTCATATGTTGCAAAAATTAGAAGTAAATTTTAGTCTTAAATGTGTATGGGAACTAGCATTTTAAATACCACAGGGTATAGCAGATAAACAAAATTTCTCATAGGTTTATGGGGGTGGGTCATTAACAGTTTTGTTTTTAAATATGTAATTCGTTCCTACATGTATTACCACCTATAAACTGAGCATACATATCAATTATATCATTATATTCTTAGTTAAAACGATTAAATTAACAATTTAGTAAGTGTCAGATAAGAAAAATATGACAGTAAATTTGGCTTTCATAAGTATCAATTATATCATTATATTCTTAGTTAAAACGATTAAATTAACAATTTAGTAACTGTCAGATAAGAAAAATATGACAGTAAATTTGGCTTTCATAAGTATCAATTATATCATTATATTCTTAGTTAAAATGATTAAATTAACAATTTAGTAATTGTCAGATAAGAAAAGTATGACAGTAAATTTGGCTTTCATGTTAATTTAAACCATTTAAAAAAACACAACCTTTTGTTGTATATTCTAAAATCATATATATGTCACCAGGAATAAATTGATAATTTTTTCATTAATCTTTAACTTAAAAATATTACATAACTTTGATATTTCCTGTGATTGTGGTGATTTCTTTAACTTAAATTATGAGAAACATATTAAGTCATATAGTGTGCCATATTGGATTAAAAAAATATTTTTTTTAGTTTTACTTAAATCTTATTTTGTTCAGAGCCAAAGAATTATGTCTTTTATTTTCTAACACACTATATATTCATAAGTCTTTCAGGTCTCAGAATTTTTTCAGTTTGCTGTGACTTCTTGGATCTGAATTTTATGTACAGTTTTATATGAGCTGCATCTTGCCTTGTAAACTTATGTATTTTAGTTGTACAACATTAAATATTTATGTCATTCTTAACTCTATTATTAGTTTTAAAACAAACTTAAGAAAAGATGTAACAATTTTATCTCTTACAACTTACATCTTTGTGCACACTGAATGTGACTTTCCAAATAAACTCAAAACATTCCATTATTATACACCATATTCTTTGCAGGATAATAAAATTCCTTTTTATAAAAGATTGATGTATTTTATTAGTAAAAAGACTATTTCAACCAACTATTGTTGTAACCCTCTTAGTATTTTTTAAAGATCAATAATTTTAATGAAAAAAAAATTTTAAAGTTGTTTTAAATTTTTTTTATTAGTATAAAAATGCATGAAATTTAATAACAAAATATTAAACAAAGGGTTAACTTACAGTACATTTTTCAAAAGTTCATGGTTACCTTCAACATCAACTCAACTACCATAGTACTTGATTACAGAGCCTGATCCAGGGCCATTTGAACAGATTCTACATCTGTTAGTTCTATAGTTATGTTTACGTTTCTAAGCCTCCTAAAAACTTCTCAAAAGCTTAAATAGCCATGCTTAACTTAAAAAGCTCATAATAGCAACTAATAACTAATATAGATAAAAACATTTCTCCATAAATTCTGACAGATATATAACATTTTTTTTGCTGTCTAGGTTGCCAGACACACTGAACAAGCAATAATAATAGATGACAAGGCATTTTAGATTTTAGACAGCCCCATGTAGGATGATTGAGAGGGCAATTCGTGGCACATAAGACAGAATTGAGCTAATTTTAGCAATAACAGCTTTAAACAAATACTAGTTGTAGCTTTCATTCTCCCTTTTACAATCATTTTTAACTACATGAGGAGGTTTGAGATTTTTTTGCAGAAGATTCCAAACTGATATTTAAGAAAAAATTTTTGGCATTTCAATAACTTTTTACCATTTAGGCTTTGGGGAAAAGGGTGGGGGAGATAAAGAATTATAATTATTGTGTTTAATAAAAGGAGGAGAAATTATCAACATTTGTTGAAATATATTTTTAGGTACCATAAGCAAAACAAGCATCTGGAATGATGACATACTAAAAAATTTTCATAAATTTAATTTACATGAAGTTCCATGTTTTTGTAGTGTTATTTACATAGTGCACTCTGATTTGAATTTTTGGCATTACAAAAATACCTTATTTAAGAATAAATTTTAAATCATTGTTTTATCAATAAATTTAATTTACATGAAGTTCCATGTTTTTGTAGTGTTGTTTACATAGTTCAATCTTATTTGAATTTTTGGCATTACAAAAATACTTTATTTAAGATTAAATTTTAAATCATTGTTTTATCAAACGAGACTATCACAGCTATGTTAAATCATTTTATCAAACAATACCATCACAGCTGATGAGAAGTTTCCTCACAGTTTGATTCCTTCTGACCTTTTGCATTTCTGCATTCTGTGAAGAAATATATTTTTACAAATTTTTTTTTTCTTCATTATATTTATATGTACTGCATTTGTAGACTTGCCATAAATGAAAACAAAAGTTATTATTATGAGAATAAATGCAAATGGCACAGAAGTTGAAGAGATAAGAAGGAAGGCAGTGGCAGAGGTAGAAGAAGGACAGGGGATCGGAGTCGGATTTCAAGGCAAGAATATAGAAGGCAAAGTGGGGGCTTTTGCTTTGCTAAAAAATATTTAGAACTCTTGGCCAATAAGGAGAAAGATAAAAATTATAAATTTTAACTCAAATGTAAATTCTGTTCTGCTGTATGGCTCAGAAAGTTGGAGATCAACCAAGGAAGATTGAAAATGACTGGAAACCTTTGTGTATGGTTTCATAAAATCCCAGACACAGCAGTGTGGGAAATGACAGCACAAATCCCAGTGGAGCAAGAAATCCATAAAGGAAGGTGGAGGGATGGATAGGGCATACCATGAGGAGAAAACCCATGCCAAAAATAACAAGACAAGAACTGGTATAGAACCCTCAAGGATCAAGAGGACGAGGGGGACCCAAAAAACACCTGGAGGAGAGAGGGGAACAAGGTTGTAATAAATATTGGAAAGAGTTTGAGAAGATAGCAAGAGACTGGAAGGCTTGGAAAGAAACTCCATAAGGAGTTGAGGCACAGAAGAGATATTTGTAGAATATAACCTGAGAAACAAAAAAAGCTAGAAATTGTCCAGATAATTAATCATTAATCAGGTCTCAGATTAAAAAGAAATTCTGTTTCAGAAATATTATGTCTACTATTGACCACTAAATTCATTCTACTTTTGACTAATTTCCCAACCTGATTTTAATGAAGCTAAAAGTACTATTAAGTATAATTACCTTCCAAACTATGACAAGTCCATCTGACCCACAAGTCACTATTCCCTCATGATCAAAGTCCAAGAAACCCTAAAAATAATATAATACAGGATCACTAAAACCATAAAACTGCAAACATTTCACAGGCATTACCACTCCTAGACAAAAAGAAAAAATGCCTTAATGGGGTAAACTTCTACAGATGACATTCGTGTGGGATTATCTTGAATTCAACTATACATAAGTTAAGCTATAACATGGTATAAAATTTTGTAAAAAAAATGCCTCAGTTCAGGTAATCAGAAGATTTAACAGTATCTTTCATTTCTCTACACAAATAAACATGATTTATTGTACATTAATTTTAACAGTGACCTAAATGAAATCCAGATGAAATTATACCTGAACAGGCCCACCATGAGCACAGCATTCTCCGAGTAAACTTGGTTCCCACGGTGAGTTTAATGCCAAGAGTTCATTGGACCTATTGAAATACTAGTATTGTTAGCACCAACAGCCCAAAAATTATTCAAATTCAATCCTTTAAATGATAAACATAACCCAGTCCAGATCTTGTGTATAATATTTGTAAGTGTAACATAACAACTTCCACCCTTGGATAAATAGCAATAACTTCATATTTGTCTTATAAAGTGGATAATCCAAAAAAGTTTTCACTCCAATAAAACTGACTTCCAACTTGATCAAACAACGGAATGTGCAAGCAAAAACAGATATCACACAAACGTTGTAAATCTTTTAGAGCTTTGGACATTGGAAATATTCATTTTCACTCAACATAAGAAAGTATTGCACAAATATAAATACTTTATTAACGGCTCCCAGTTGTAGTAAAACTTACTGAAGACCAGTAAATCTCTCCATTGTTGTGACCGCCATGTTCCCTTTCGGTGGATCCGATGAAGGTTTGCGGCCCCACAGTCTCATGCACCTGTCCTCAGCACAGGTGGCTAGTAGCTCGCTAAATACAGTTCACGGGTGACATAAATTAAGTTTGAATTAAATCACCTGTCATCACATTTATCTTAGAACGCGGGTAATTTCTTCAAATTGCAAAATTTCTTTCAACAGATATATGAGACCCCATTGATGTTTGATTAGTTTAAAAAAGAAAAATTAAAACATTCTTACCCTTCACAAGCAAATCCCATGGAGGTTATCTTTGATAAGTGAGCTGACCTCTTCTGAAGAACAAGGGTCTCTTTATCTGCTGTGATATCAAAGGCATAAAATCCACATCCAATAGCAGCAAAAAGATAGCGCTGAAAAGACAGAATACATGTGATCACACAGCTGCTGCTTGTCCTATATTTTCAATTGTTGTACCCTAAAAAAAGACTCAGTTTACTGATTGCAATGCTAAAAACAATGCAACAAAACATGCCACAAAAGTGGTATTTTGCTATTTAGCCAAATAAGAATAGGACTAGATCTGCAGTCATGTTTTTAAAGATAGTTTCTGACCTCATTGCTTGATATTTCTACACAATTCCATAAGGGCCCAGAAATCATAGTTATTATAATCTTGACGGAAGGATTTTCAGATGTCAACTGGACACTGCTGTCATAGACACACTGATATGTTAAAAATAACAATATAATGATATTGAAATGTCTGTCTCCGGTTTAAATTTTTGAAAATAATTATGTTTATATAACTTGACTTCAATATATTGGCAAAACAAACAATTTAATACATTATACAACTCCCTGGGTCTCTGGTCGGGATGTCAGTAGTGGCATGCTGCCACCGACCCCCAAGTGCTACCCGGGGAACATTAACCACCATTGTGTGATCCTGCATGGGCAGACAAAGAGCAAGCATGGTTTCTGCTTTGCAAACTGCAGTTGAAATAACGGTAGAAACAGGGTAGAGATCATGATTACTATCTTGCAGATGACGAATATGAGGTGTGAGGTGGTTAGTAGCATCCTCATGTAAATGATTCTAAACACTTAGTCCTTGAGGAGGCTGTTCCTAGCCAACCATTTCATCCCAGCTACTTTGTGAACTATTTACAAGAGGTAGAAACCCACTCTAGAAAACACTATTAGAGGGCATTCGACACCTTCCCAGGACAGACAGGGGAGGATGTAAGGATGTAAATGCATCATCCTGACCCCGGGAAAGTCGATTACTAGTAAAAAGGCAGCAATATTGACCGACAAGATGTCCTTAGGTTGAGATGGCAGCGTAAAGTTAGTCAATCGAGTGAAGATAATATATGTGTGGGCTGTCCTAGCTGGAGGAGATCTCCAATGTGCTGCTTTGCAGTCTGATAGTTAGGGGACATTTTGAGCTGGGGGGAGGGGAGGGGGGAGGGTTTGCTATAGAGAGGGCATTAAGAGCTCTGGCTCAATGATGCCATTTCCTAATGTATATAAATGCAATATCTACCAGATAATCACATATGAATAAACTTTATTTGATGCATAGCTACAAATAAATCATGCCTGATATAGAAATTATTAAGATCACTTGCTTGCTAACAATAATATATTTATACATCCTAGTATTGCATAAAACATATAATTTTAATTGTATTCAAAATTTACAAAGCAACCTATAGTCTATCTTGATTTTAATATTTGAAATTTGCAAAATGATAATTTTCGATGAGATCGAAAATAATTATTTGGAATGAAATCACAATATATTTTTTTTATTAAAGTTTACACAATGCACCAAAATGTCCACTTCTTACTTCTTGTATGCAGATTAGAGCTTGAATACTGTAAGGAAATCTTTTGTTCTCATCTTTGTACTCTGTCACAGCAGAGAGAATTTTGGTTTGCTGGAGGTTAGATGAGGTCCATATGATTATCATCCCATCAACTGAGCCAGTTCCAAAGCAAGAGGCTAGGAAAAAAAGATGATAAAACAAATTATTATAAATAAATTTAATTTTATGAAAAAATTTTTGTTCTTTATCATAATGTATTGAACATTTTTTTTATAATAAAATTTCTGTATATTTAATAAGGTTTACAGATAAGTACTTTAATAATGCAATGAAATTAAGATTTTCTTCATAAGTGAGTATAAACCATTTAACCTTACTTTATAAAAAAAAAAACACTGATGTAACATAATTCGAAAAGTAACTAAATTTTACAAGCAAACAACCTACTTGATATGGGAATCAAGGAGTGAATTGCCTCAAAGTGAGACTGCATGCTTTTTATTTTAATTAGCTTCGGTGTGCTCCCCTCAAGGTTTAATCTGTAAACAACTGTTCCAAGGAAATAAATTGAAATAATTAAAACCAAGAAATAATTTAGATAAAAGTGTTTATTTTTATACCTGTGGCAGCATTGTTTGAACTTGAAGATCTGATACTGATTACAAAAATCCCAATCAGAGAAACAAATAAAGGACAACAAATTTATACTCACCTAATTCTTTACCAGCAGCTGTGACCAGACGATCGTTCTTTATAGAAATCATCAAATGAATATCTAAAGGAAAATAATGTATCCCTTAATTAAATTTTTTTAAGTGAAAATTTCATTTCACGTAATAATTATTTCATAAACTCATTTGCACTGTTATGCAAAAAATAACCCTTGTAAATAAACTATCTATCTGTCTTTAGAAAATTAACTTTTTTCTTGAACTTAAAAATGTAGTGTTTATTCTGTTAAAAAGCAGTTCTCAAAATGGGGACAGTAATTTGATCCCCAGAGAGTTCACAAAGCATTTGTTGGGGTTCCCCCACAAAATTTTATAAGGAAAAAAGGTCATCAATCTCTTCTAGTTTTAAAACTCCAGCTTTCAAAAATACCTTCAATGGCAGGATTTTCTATTAAGTCTAAAAACTGCCCTTCTCTGCTCCATAAAGATAAATTTTCTCCTCCTGCACAAAAAAGTCCATGGTCTATCAACTGAAGACACTGAAAAAAAAAATATTAAGGGTTTCAGGACATTTTCCATATTTATAAATATGGAATTTTTAAAAGCTAGTAGGTCTTAATGTTAATGTAGTGTACAATGCAAACAAAATTTTTCCTGTGTTAAAGGGGATATTAAAATAAAATGCATGCATGTATCTGGCTGTAAGGATCCTGGGGAACCAGCAGTACTGAAGTTCAAATAAATTGTAGCACTTGCAACGACTTGACTTCACAAAAATCCTAACACACCATGGTCTGACAATCCTTTCATCCCTTTTCCTTAATTTCACTTTCAGTAATTTACCACCCCAGGAGGATGCCCTAATCCAGTCATAGAAGCATGTTAGCATTGATTTAAGATGTAATTTTAACATTAACCATAGAGTGAATGTATTGCACCCTTTTACAGAAACACAGACACATTTTAAATCATCTGTTGCTGATTAATATCAGTCATTTCAATTTCAGATACCTCATTGCAAATAATATTAAAAGAGTATTTGTTGTTAATATAATGATGCCTGGATTTGTTTATTGCTCATACATGTCCCTACTATTTGTTTCATTTTTTCTTTATTAAATCAATTTTACAAAAGAGGAGAAAGTTTTTCAATTTGAAAAAAAAAAGAACCAACCCTAACTGAAGCTCCGTGCTCAGTCAAAGTATCTCATTGAAAATAATATTAAAAGAGTATTTGTTGTTAATATAATGATGCCTTGATTTGTTTATTGCTCATACATGTCCCTACTATTTGTTTCATTTTTTCTTTATTAAATCAATTTTACAAAAGAGGAGAAAGTTTTTCAATTTGAAAAAAAAAAAAAGAACCAACCCTAACTGAAGCTCCGTGCTCAGTCAAAGTATGCACACATTCACCTGTATCAGCATTCCACATCTGGACAAGAAAGAGGATTACAAACAGTTTAAAATCTTGGCAAAATACTTGGAATACAAGCTTAGAAAATGAAGCTGTATTTAATTTTTTTAAAAACTTTTATGATATAAAATAAACGGTTTGAAGGTCTGTTAGCATAATTTTTTTACAAAGAAAGTAAAAAAAATTTAATTACTCAATTTGAATTTAAAATGAATAGCTCACTAATTGAAGTACAAGCTTAATTATTATTTTTAAAATAATTATTTCATGATCATGAACTCATTTTAATTGTATATATGGTAACACACTAAATTTTAAAAAATATATTTTTTTTTTAGAAGTTTTGAAAGGAAGGTCAATGTTATATTAAGCTAAATTAAATGTGTGCGTGCATTCATGCTATGCATTACATCCATCTCCAAAGGCATTCATGCTATGCATCACATCCATCTCCAAAGGCACTTACTTTTATATGCTTGTCAGAAGAGCCAGATATTATCAGGGCGTCGTCATTGCTTTCAATGCCAGGAAGTAGAAGCAGACTTGTAATTGGATGAGTATGCCCCAACAGAGTAGCAACTCGACGACCATACTGTCAAAATAATTTTTAATAAAAAAAGATTTACAAAGGATATTGTTGAATGTTTTTTCTTATCAAGGTTTTATAAGCAACATGAACTAAATCTCCTCTATAAAACCAAACATAAGGGCAAGAGTGTTTGCACAAGTGAAGGCAGTGGCAGGTAACTGAAGGAGCAAAAACTTTTGAAAGGCGGAATAAAATGCAATGCAATTTTAAATTTACGCAAGGACCCCGGAATTTATTGCTCAATGCAATTTAATTTCACTTAAAAATGTTATTGGCAATTTTAATTTATAAGTAAGGGGAAAAGGGGCCAGTGAAAACTGGCTATTTCTTTAAGAGAGAAGTTACGTGTAACACAGTGAGAGAAATAGGGGAGTATTTTAGGGATAAAAGAGGCAGCTGAAAGACACTGGTTGAGAGGGCAATCAAAGTGGACTGAGGGAGAGAATGAGGGTAATTAATGTAATACTAGTGTGTTAATGGGATAGTATAGGAAGGAGTAGGATGATATAATGGTGATTGAGATAATGGTGGGGTTGTGGGTGATGGGGAAAGATTGGAGTAGGATTGAGACCAGGGGGACTGAGATGGGGTAGGGGGAGGATGACCAGGGACCATGAAAAGGAGGTTCTGTTTAGAGGGAGTTGAGAGAGGGTAGGATTTTGACAACTGACAGGGATGGGAGATCAGAAAAAGCAGAAAATAACATACTTCTATATAAATCTTATTTGAACATTTAAAGAAAAAGAAAATACCTGCACTTCCCATATCACAGCATTGTTGTCATCACCAGCTGAAACAAACCTGAAAAAAATTAAATATATATCGGCTAGAATTCTAATCAGTTTGATAATTTATAATACAACTAATCAATAGAGCCTTTTGAAAAATGTTCACTTCAGAAATATTAATGTTTTTTAAGAAAATTTTTTTTTTTTTACATTAAATCTGATTGTCCAAGTTTTATTACGACATAGTGCAATGTGTGGTTTTTAAACAATGGCTTAAGTGGTGGGAAAAACCTGAAAATTATTTAGGAAGACTGAAAAAAAATAATTAAGACATTTTATATTTTTAAAAAAATGTAATTGGAATCCCTAGTTACCTTCTATCACTTATTCGTAACAATAATCTCACAATATCTGAGTGGTGTTGTAATATCAGAATCTCATTGTAGGGATTATGTGGCTGACCTTCCTCAACATCTTCACACCTCTGTAAAGTTTTGAAAATTATTTTTTATTAACCATTATTCAACTTTGCATTGTCATTTGATACTAAGGCAAATTGAATTTCCAATTTCTCTCAACCATCCCTGTGGCGCTACAGCCCATTTAGGGATTTGGTCTGCCTCACCACTTCCTTCCACTCAGACCTAAATAATGCCTTTCTTTTCCATGTTTGGTCTCCCAGCTGCTGTAGATCTTTTTCCACATCTTCCATCCAACCATCTAAGCCTAGATCTGCCTTGAGACATTTTCCTCTGGGGTTTTGGTGGTGCACCCTCTTCACTCCTCTGTCATTTGGCATTCTTGCTAAGTGTCCAGCCCAGTGTAGCCTGCCCTTTTTATTTCTGCTACTAGCGTGGGATCCTGATATAGAATATAAAATTATTGGTTGGTTTGTATTCTCCATCCATATTCATCCTTTGTTGGTTCATATATTTTCCTGAGTTCTTTTCTCTCCCATGTGTTTAATAGGTTTTCTGCCATTTTTGTTAGGGTCCACGATTTACTTGCATAAGTTAAAACTGGTCTGATAAGAGTTTTTTAAAATAGTTTTCTTTGTTTTTCTTGAAATGTTTTTACTTTTTAGTATTTTCTGACTACAGAAGTATGCTTCGTTTCCAGCCAATATTCTTTCTTTTATTTCTGTTAGTAATTCATTTCTCTCAATTAATAAAGATCCTAGGTATTTGAATTGATTTATTATTTCAAAAGTAGTATTTCTAATTTTAATGGTTTCATCTGTCTGTTCTTCTTTTATCATAGTCATGTGTTTTGATTTTTGGTTGTTAACTTCCAGCCCTGCTTGTAGTGATGCGTCTTCTAATTCAATAAAGGCTTTTGATATGTCTTCGCTACTTTTGCCTAACAGTGTTATGTCATCAGCATATGTAAGATACTGAAGGGGTTGATTGTAGAGAGTGCCTATTGTTTGTGGCTCTTCTGTCTCCCTCAGAAAGTATCTTTCTATGGTTCCTCAGGTGGCAATTTTTATGTTTCATATAAGATATAACTCTCTCTAATGTTAGGTTAAATAGCAGAATTTCTCTCATACAAAGTGTAAATAAAATGTACAATTTTGATGCAAAAGTTACCTCATTTACTGTTGAAGTTTCTTTTTTCAATTTATCAGAAGTTGTCAAAAGTCTCTGGAGCATCTGAATAGAAATTTTAGCTAAATTAGGCCTATATACAGCTTTTCTTGGACTTAAGCAATCAGCGTGCAGATGTTACTGGATGATTAATTTTGTAAAGTCACTTTACTGGGAAGTCAATTATCTATGTCATTTTCTAGACTGAAAATGTAGCAATGAATAATAATTAAATGAGTAATATTAGTTAATCATTTATTTCAGCAGATGAGCCAAGGCCAATCTTGAACTCAGAGGTTATGAGCTTTATTTGTATTCCAGGGCGTCCATGAGTGACCAAAGCCTGACTAGTTGGATGCCACTATCACTGCACACCCAGCTTGCAAGTTATGTCACCTAATAGTGAGTGCTAAAACCTGTTATTAAAAATGTATTCAGCTATTTGGGAAATGGCATTTTTTGTGTAACATTACCTACCTGCCCACCCTGCAATTTGCTATTCCTGTGTTTTTCAAATGGGGTGTTGCAAGACTTTGATATAAATTAATAAGAAATGTTTTTGTTCGATAAGATGTCAATGGACATTTTACCTAAAATTTCACATAAATGAAACCGTTTGAATTTCATTTCTTTGAACTGCTCTTCCCTGAAATACTATATATTAAAAAAAATATTGTCAGGACAACTGTGACATATACCATTTAGTCTGTCATTAATTAAGTAATGCAACAAAAACGGATGTGCTTTTCTGAGGTCTTATTTATCTGTACTAGATAAATGACCAAACTGTTCCCATATTATATATGATTAGAAATTAGAAGCAAAGCTATTCATGTTAAATGTATGTAATAATGTATAATGTCAATGTTTAAGAGCACTATACTATTAGTAGTGCAGGCCTATTTACTATATTTTTTATTACTAATAATACTAATAGTAATAGTATAGTGGTCTGATACATCAGTGGCATAGCTAGGGTTGGTGTCACCCGGTGCGGTAAACTCATGGTGTCACCCACCTCCACCCGACTTCCATGATGGATTTCTTCTTGTTAAAATAAGTCCACAGTATAACAATGACAAGAAAAAAAACAACAAATTAACGACCAGGGGAGGTAAATGTATTTAAGAAATATAATAAAGTTAAGTTATAGTTATTTTTACATTAAATTTACTTTATTTGAAATGTTCCTTTCATGGTCTTCAAATCCATAAATCTGTCAATCACTTGATCATAATCAATATTCTTCACCGTACCACTTTCAATTAATAGTAGAGCCTAATCAGAAGGCCTTGACTACCCCATGGTGGATCGTAAATAGTTCTTGATACGCCTTAATTCTGAAAAGCTCCGCTCACATGAATGTACAGACACACAGATTTTAAACAATTCAAGGCTTAGCAAGAATATTGGAGGAGATTCTAGAAAGTCCCATTCAGCTATAAATTTCAAAACATCATATACTGACCAGTCCATGACTTTGTGAAATTCAATATCAGCTGCCTTTAGGTGTCCTCTAAGCCTTTGTATCTTCTGATAGCTCATCATAGAAAGAGGTTAATTTTGGAGCGGACAACAATAACTATTCTTGCTGATGATAGATTCTTGGGCTGAGCAGCCCCAAACATACCTGCTACTTCCTTGATCGCTGATGATCTGATCTGGGGTTCAGAATGAAAGCGATCAACACACTCCCGAATCTTCCAACTGTTCTTCTCGCAGAGAGTCCAGCATTTATTAATTGTTCACCTGCCATTCTGTTTTTAAAACTTAATCTTCTCACAGAAATTCCATTGTGGTCTGATTTTTAAAAGTGCTTTTTCCATAGTATTTTCTACTGAGTGACCACTTCTCGTGCAGAAACAATACTAATACCTCGAGGCTGGTCACCACTTTTTCAAGAATAAAGCATTTAGTCTGCAGATACTGCTGTGTAATAAAGATTAACTTCTTTACGTAGATCAGCCCAAAGGTAAAGGTAGCAGACAAGCTTGAAACAACAGACAGCATGTAAAAGACCTGGTGCTGTACCTCATGTATGCAAATTTTCAAGAGGATCACATAGTATAGAGCCTCAATGGCCACCACACATTCATTAAAGTTATCTTTCACTGTTTTAACAGCAGCATGATGAACACTCAAACCTGTTGTTGAAAGACTTTTCACTGATATTCCAGGGATTTGATTTTGGATTAGAAACATGTGTGGAAAATTTACGTATGATGGGTTATCCTTTTATGGAATTCGTTTAGAATGAGCATTGCGTGCTCTAGTACATATGTAATTTGTCAGTTTGGTGCCACCCCCAAGATGGTGTCACCCAGTGCGATCCGCACCCCCATAGCTACGCCACTGTGATACATTAAGACATGATTAGTAGATACTTTTAACATGATATACTATACTATAGTTATAGAAGAATCATTCAAAATACTATTCATTTCTTTTAGTTTTAGTCTTAATTTAAGACTTAATTTCATTCAAGTTAAAAGTATAATTATAATCCTAATGACATGAACTCTACTCTTCTACTACTGACATTTTAGTAATTTTAGTAATTTAGTGACTAGAAATTTAAGGAAATTAAGGCCTACCAAACTATAATTTTTTATAAATATAGGCCTAAATCATAAGTTAATATAGCCTACTTATATAGGCATAGGCTAATAATTAGTAATTTTTTTATAATATATTGAAATACTTCGTAGTAATAGTATAATTCTACACTTTGTTTAGGATTACTAATTTCTAAAATCATATATTCTAACTAATTCTAACTTCTTAGTAAGTAAGTAAGTAAGTAAGTTAGCCTATCTCAGTGGGCTATACTTTAGACTTTATTAACTTTAGTCTTTACTATTTACTGTTTACTACTTAGTCTTACCTAAGTCAAATCTACTTTAGTTTCATTTCTAGTACTAGTAATTTTAGTTTCAAATTTAAACATTATATTATTAATAAATTTAAAGAGTAAAAAGGATAAGAATAAGAAGAGTAAGACTCAATAAGACTGAGTTACTGTTAATATCATTACCACAAAGTAGGCCTATTTAACTTAAAATTAAATTAAAGAGACAGACACTTTTCACTTTATTAGTAAACGTAAAAAGTTCAACAATCCTCACCAAGTAGTTAAACATCAAAGTTGTAATTGTAAGTGTAAGTAAGTTGTATAAGTATAAGTCATAAGTAATTTATTTTTATCTTTGAACCTCAGTAAGTTTAAAATGGCACTATTGGCACAGTTGGGTATACCGCACAGTCGTGTGCTTTAAATTGCTTTAGTTTCATGTCTTATACAACACGTCTCATTTACCTTTGTGAAAACCTGAGCTTTTGGCCTAATTTTAATGCTCAAAATTTACATTTCTGACCCATTTCGCAGCTTAATTAAAGTTGATTTGTTTCGTTTTAGCTTGGAACAACTTTACATTATTTAAATTAACTCGGCCAATACAAAGATTTTTAAAAAAAGATAACCATCAAGTTTTTATAAAAAATAAAAAATTAAAGCAGGAATTTCATCTCAGGTTCTTTTTTCAGGGAAAAGGGAGAGGGGGGAGAGCGCAAAACCTATACTTCGCCGGCGTGATGATTTGTTCTTTAATGAAGGCCCCACAGTACGTAGCAATTTAAATAATAAAACCTATGAATTCGCCCCCCCCCCCCCCC